GCACAGGAGGTCTGCTGGCTGGACGCCTTCAAAGACGTCGTATGGCTTTGAAGGAAGCTCCTGGCCACGATGCATCACCGCTGCTGGCAAGGAGGGCCCCTCCTCGCCCTTGTGGATGCACGAGTTAGCTTGACACACAGTGAATTTAAAGGCAGATATGGAATTAAAGTGCCCTCTCAACGGAACCATGCCCACTAGCAATTGTTGAAGGCAGCCCCTTGTTTCAATGCGTGGTAGATTTTTTTTAATTGTCTGCTCATAGTAAAAAATAAAATTTTTCATTATTTAGGCACCTGTGGAGTGATGGAACTGTAGGGACTCATGGTACACCGTTGTTAAATATAGTCTGCCAGCTGCAAATTAATTTAAATCTTTAAATTAGCGAACTTAGTCGCCTGCCACTGAAGGGAAGACCTGGAGCTCAGTACAGAGATCATGCAGAGTGCCTCCGTGAAAATGATTTACAACTGAAACTCATCGTCAAACCTCTGCAGCAAAGTAACGTCCCTTGGTAGGCATGTACTCAACTCAAAAAGGGACTCATTAGAGGTGCAAATGTAGTTTCCACGAGTGTAACAGACAGCCATCTCGTGCAAGAGTTAAAACAAGCTCGACCAAGTTTCCTCACCGTACTCGTCTCCGTTCGCAGTCATTGAGTAGGCAGTGGAAATTCCACATTCCCTGGTGGTGCTAGTCTGTCCAAAGTGCGACCACTGTTAACAGCCTTCGTTTTCCCAAGGAATATTCCCCATGCTGCGAGGTGGTTACAGCATAGAGTCGTGTTGTTGTACCTTTGGCGGTGGATAAGAGAAAGCCCTCCCACATGGGTTCCACCCAATAATAGTAATAGGAATGACAGCCACACACCTGGGATTACATGATAGTGCTGGGAGGAGTGATTCGAGGTATGTGTAGCAAGCGACGTGGATTGAAGCTGCAGGGAGCTGGAGGTGATGGCGGCACATGACACAACAAGCTGGTTTTCCATCATCACGTCTCGTGAAATGTCCAATAAGGATGGTTGTGATAAACACCGTTATTACAATGCCCGATATTTAAAGATGTCGTCATCTGAATGGGCAACGCTGGTGAGAGTGCTCCACTCACAATCCGAATAGTTGTGAGGACAAAGCCTGGCTCGGGGTCAATTCAGCCCCATTCACAACCTTGCGAATGATAATCAAGTACCACTTGTTGCGGTTGTCCAAAGGAAAGGCCGGTTCCCGTCATAGGAATGTGGCATTTCCATAACTATCTGTCTTAGGACCGCCAGCGGAGATGAGCACCGGTTGGCACTTGTGTGATGAGGGAAACACTTTGTTTTTAATGAATTTGACAACATATTAGAACAAACTGTACTCATTGATAGATGGTATCGGTCAAACTTTACAACATGGAAGTCCAGAATAAACACCGCATTCAAGATCCAAACATTTCCCCCTCCTGGATTTTACATTGCTTGAAGACAACGATGTAACCATCAACCGCTTCAGAGCACCAGCGGGCCAATGCGCACGTCAGAGGTCGCATTCGGGTACCCGATACCCGTACCCTACCCGATACCCGGCTACCCGTACCCGCCGGGTACGGGTACGGGTAGCCGTTTACGACCCTGGTGCGGCTGGGTACGGGTAAGGAATCAAAACCCGTTTGCGACCTCTGGCGCACGTCTCCTTCATGAATGTAACATGAAAGACAAGCCACAGAGTGCGACTGTGAGCATGAAAACAAAATTACGGTTCATATAGTAAACCACCGTAGTATGCGCTGCTTGAATGAAGGAGGTATAGCAAAACTACACGAGCTCTCTGTTGAAGCCCTCTCATGGCTAACAGGCGTCTAACATTGGCACCTAGCTCCTGAATATATTGCTGCTGCACGCAAGAATGGAATAGTCAGGGCTGTATTAATGTTCTCACTGAAGGGAGGAGGATGCTTTGCTTCATGTGTGTGCCTCACCGAGATGCATAAGCGGCTTAGGGCAGGGTAATCCTTTGCTCGAGGTGAGGGCACTTTTCCTACCACTTTGCATGTTGATGGCGGCGTGTGAGTGACGTGAGGAAGCGTACGTACACCTGCCAGTATTGAGCTTGCTGCAAGTAGCAGGTTATGTAATGAGGAAGCACGTTTGGCTCAAAACGTGAGATGTAAAATGTCGTTATTGTAACCTTGCATGTACATGTCGACATGTACAGCCTGTTTTCTGTCAATCCACGGATGTTTGAGGGCCTCCCCACACATTGCAGGCTATATGGGACATTTTAGCGTACTTCACCACGCTGGTCAGAACAACAGTCGTTTTTTCTGCACTGCCCTCTATTTCCTACTCGTACGACAATGGTCTTGTGCACATGGTGGTCGCCCATCCAAGCACCATCCCAGCTCAGCCCTGCTTAGCTTCTAAGATTGGACCAAAACGGTCGAGTTTTTTTTCTCATATTTTACATTCCAATTATGCCGTTCATGTGTACGTATTATGTTGAACTTCTTTCGCACCGTACGTAGCCAACCGTGCTAAATCGGAGGTTCAGGGGAAGGACAACAAACTAAACACAAGCACTTTCAAAGAATATATTTTTTCAATCTAGATTTAAAAGTGCATAGCTCCAGTCACCTCCTAATGTCAGAAGCAAGAGCATTCCTCACGACCGCAGAAGCGCATCTGAGAGCGCACGATACGGTGACCGTCTTTGTTCGATGGCCAGCAGCCAAAAACCGCTGCGAGGATGATCGGAGTTCATGTGATGGTTTATGCTCCTTCACAAGAGGAGCATACGGGAGGAGCACGCGATGTCAGGACACCGTCAAATTAGCATTTGGAACTCTTGCAATGACCACCACCTTGTGTTGGAGAATAGCGTCCAGAAGATGATATCTTCTACAGGCCCCGCCAGGTGCAATAGGCCCCTTTCGGGGATGCATCCTTATGCTTTTCAAAGAGTCTTTTGACAATCAAGATACATTTTATTGTAATAATAAGAAGAAGAATGCAATTTATAACGCACACGGTATCTTACGGACATGAATGACTGTGACACTGAGGTGCGGAACAAAGCTCGGAGTCGCTTGGATGCGAGACAAGAGAGGTGGGGCCTTGAATGTTCCCTTAAAAGTCGGTGTTGATTGAATGCCGCCAATGTGCGGCGAGATGGCGTTCCAGATGGTGGGGGGCTGGCGGGGGGCTGGCATGGAGAAACGACGCCTGGCAGTGATGGTCCTGGTCCTTGGTTTAGAGAGGAGGAGGTTGCGAGTCGCGCTGCTGCGGGAGAGTTCCACCGTGAGCTGTCATGCTGGGTGACGGCAGCGAAGACGGATGCGGTGGATGACGGAGTGTAGAGGCGCGGTGGCAGGCGATCTTACAGCTGACCCTGCTGCCAATGATGGAAGCCAGTGATCAGAGGTAGAGAATGCCTCATTACCAAATTGGCCACAGTGGGGGTTTTTTGCAGTCAGTTAGTGGTTGGGCCGAGACCAAGAAATACGTCAACACTTGAGAAGCCAGTTTCATCGTGGGTGGCTGACACTCGGATTTGAACCCAAGAACTTGTCCAGTACTCCATCATGCTATTATCCATCCAGCTACTTCAAGCCTAATCCTTATTGATGGCTTCATAGATCATGTCTATTAGATGGGATATTACGCTTGCAGTGTATACGAATGAATTGTTTATAGACACACTGGTTAGCACGCTGAACCATGACCCCAGAAATCTGATTGTGAATCCCAGCCACTGCTAATGTCAGTAGTGAGTGATATCCGAACCTCTTTTAATTAATTTAATTAGCGACAACGACTGTGTAGTAATACACATGGGATGCTGCCGTGGTGCGATGGTGAGCACGTGGGTTTTGCAAACCAGAAGTTATCAGTTGAATCTCGCGAGAGTTTAAACAAGAGGAACGTTTCTTAAATCCCCCTCCTCTGTATACCCAGCAGCACAAATGGGAACACCACAATGATTGAATCTCTGAGTTTCTTGTGGTTGGGTAAAGTGTGGTTACTCCCACCTCTTCCAAGATGCCTGGCCAGCGTGGAAGAGTAGGCCAAAATATAATATATGTATGTATGTTAAGCTTCTTTCGCAGTGTACGTAGCCAACCACGCTAATCGAAGGTGCGGGGGAAGGACACATCTGTAGGTGATTTCTAGAGCTCCCTCTAGTAGAGGCTATTTTACCACCAGTGGCTTGAACAGGACATTTCAGGGATGCACGTATACCTTTACCTATTATAGATATGGCAATAAGTGTCCATGCAATGTACAATTTAAACTAATCTGATCAGAGATAAATTCGCACCTCCGATTGGCACGGTTGGTTACAAACGGTGTGAAAGAAATTCAACATTGCATGCATACTAAAAGGAAGTGGCACCTGTTTACGAGGAGCTTGCCTGTTGACATGGCATGTGGTTGTAGCAATCGCCCGTGGTGGGGGGGGGGGGGGGGTTTGACTCTCAATCGGATGGTTGTGGTTTAATTCCCAGTCACTGTCTGGTTCAGCACATAAACTGTCTGCAGCACGCAGTCAATGTGTATGTTGAACTTCTTTCGAACCGTACAATGACAACCGTGCTCATCAAAGGTCCGATAAAGTGACTTCTACTTCTCTGGATGGCAGCCGTGGTTATCGAATTGGGAGGCTTTCCCCTGCATTAGGAATGTGGAATTTCCACCACTGGTTCAGGACATGCGATGAGCACTGCACCATTGGCTCATCCATTCCGCAATGCGATTTCACCTCTCTTTTGACTTTCTTTTTCAAAAACCGGTATGTCCTAAATCTATGGCGATGTTCGATTTGCAGGTTCCATTGTGTAGACGGAGTTGTTTTTAACCAGATCACGGTTCGCAGTACAATTGCACTGAACTGGAGCCTGCCCCGTCAATCCTGCAGTCAGGATGTTGTGCGTGTGCCGTTCAAGGAAGCGAGTGCAAAGGGAGAGTAAAAACACACAAGCTCCACCACTTGCTAAAGTGTGGGGCATTTTGTATTTGGCAGGAAGCGGATGTTGTGAGCTGTGACCTTATGAGCACGTGGCCTTGAAGAAAACCTCAGCACAGGAGGAATCGTACAGGTGAGCCATTTACAATAACTCCTAGGAGGTCATTTCTTTAAAACTGATTTTTATATTTAGTTTGTTGTCCTTCAACCGCACCTCCGATTAGCACGGTTGGATATGTATGGTGCGAAAGAAGGTCAACATACATACATTCGCAGTGAGCATTCTCACTACGACATAGTGCTCAGGCAAAAGTTTGCGTGCCATCTTGCGTCTTTCAACATTTCCGTGGTATATATGTTTATGACAAAGATTCCCCGGATTCATAGTGCAGCGCTTTAACCACGACACTATACACAACTAGTGGTCCCATGGATCGATTGGATCCAGTCGTAGGGGTTTAGAATTCCACATCGGCTCTGTCCCACCAAAACAGATGAGTATCATCACATACTCGTATGACCATTGCGACACTTTGTTTTTTTTCACTTACAGCAAGTGAATGGCTTCATGAGATGAATAATATTTTGATCACATTGCAATGTCAGCCTTAGCGATGTAATCAATATTTTTTCTCGTACAGATCTGCTCCGGTGCTGCTGCGGTGCAAAATGTTGATTCACAATTTGGAAATTTCCAGTCAAGGGAGTCGACTCGACCCATATTTCCTATTGGTTGTTACAATGAGTAACGCTCTGTAGAATGTTACAGCGGTGGCTGTCCTCTCGACGGACTGTGCCTCCGTCATGGCAATGTAGAATTTCCACTGGCGCTTCAAGGCACCTTTTGTGGATATTTCAGTTCAGTTCATTTATTAGGTATAGCCCTGTGAGCCAAGCGGCTCTTGAATCGAGATGAGTGCCACTCTGACATTGTTTGGGCAGGGAGACGTTGACTTATGTAAAAAGTGAACTAAAAGGCCAGAAGTACTCTCCCTCCCCTGTTTATTAAACAATAAATGGAAAGACCTTGACCCATTACTGGCTTTACACCTTAATAATGAAATATAGCAAACGTTTCCCTGGGTGTCTTTTGCCAGGATTGACTGGGGGTTGGAGGGTGGGTGGTTGGGCTGGGGGTGTATGAAAAGTGCTGAGGGGGGGGGGGGAGGCGATTTCTTTCAGGTTTCCAAATTCAGCGTTCAGGTGCTTACACTTTTGTGCCCAAAAACAGAGTTAAGTGAGAAAAGTAGCCAGAAAGAGATCATCATGGGGCATGGTGCTGTTATGTGCGGCTTGCGCTTGCGACGCGTGGCAGACGCCGTTCCCCGGGGCGCTTGCACGTGTGCGCGCGTTCCTGCGCGCACGTTCACGTCATTTGTGAGATCCCATGAACGCCAAAACCAACCTCAGCGGTGACACGATTTGGGGGGCCGCACGTGAGCCGTGGTGACCTCACCACCGTCTTCCACCGTGCCGGAGGAGAAGGCCAGGTGCCGCTCTTCGGTGGAATTTTTTTTCATCTTCCATTCGACACGTTTGAGTAAAGCGTGCAATTTTCCAGTCGTGAAAAAAGTGTAGGCTCATTGAAGTTTAAATTTGCACCAGTTGATGTTTGGCAAAGGGTCCTCCCTATTGAAATGAGTTGGTTATATCAGTTGGCAATTCTAAACCAGTAATTTAAATTCCACTTTACCATGGGGCCAATCTCATGGTAAGAGACGACCGTTGCTTAATTCCCACAAGGTGTGGCCACTGCTCTCGTTATTTCTGGCAAAGTCAACTGTATTGGTTCTGCTGAGACATTAGCCACGCCATGGAAATGTGGAGTTTCTGCAGCTGGCTCTTGGTCATTGAAAGTATTTTTTTGGCCGGTTCACGCTTGCACGATGGAGTCGAAATTTTGACCTTTGACTCGGTGTACTGTACATGTACTGTACACGTATGTAACAGCACATTAAATGACGTGCACTGGACGTACAGTAAGTACGTGGCATTCGCTGTATTCATGACAAGATCCACATGTGCAGACGTGCTTCGGAGCTTAGCACAAAGGGATCTCATCCCACTGGGAATACATTTGGCAGGATGCTAACTTTTGTCCTCTTCCTTATGAGGGAAATACTCAACTCACTCTGAAATATTCGTAATTTCCAAAGTATATTTTAAAAAGCCCTTGTTTTTCCTCCAACGTGACCTTCCATCTCCACGCCTGTGTGGGTTTTCTGTGCATGCCGTAGTTTCCTCTGGTTTCCTCCCACATTGACAACACTCATTCAAATGGAATTGGCCAAACATCCCAAGGGATTGACCATCCTGAAAGTCATGAGACTCAGTGAAGCTTTTTGCCGGATAAATAACGGCCATGCGTTTATTTCTTTTGGCCACTCGGAAGTGAGTCACAGCTCACGAATGGCAGCCTCTGAACCCATTTCAGAAAGGTTTAAGTCGAATGATAATTATTTTTCTACTTAGAATTGAATTAATTTCTCCCCCCGCCCCCGCCCCTCCGCTAACTATCCATCCCTTTTATATCCTTAATGCTGGTTAAGAACCAAAAACGTGTAAAGTATTAGCTGCGAGCGAGCAGGCCAGAGAAAGGGCCAATTGTGGCACGTGCGTGCATGTCACCGGCTCGCTTAAGCGCGCGTGCGCGCACGCGGGGGCTTGTGTGTTGCTCCTTTGTGCTTCGGGGTCGTGCGCCCAACAGCGGAGGCCTTGTACGTCTCCCGGACACTCGACCCGCCCGCCCGGGAATCCCTTGTACTTTCTCAGCCGCCCATTGTGCTCCCAAACAGTCGGTCGCTGGTCCATTCCCGATGTCTATGATTTGAATCGAGGATTTTGCGTGTATGCGTGTGTGCATCACTTTAAACTCTCTCATGCTGTAAACGAGCACAATTGGACAAAGTGTCTCTGTCTCGCCTGCTTTTTTTACCACTTTTGCTCTTCTGTACAACAAGGAGTTGTACTGTACTCCCAAAAAAGGCCATGTGTTGTCCCTTCATCATTGTTTAACCAGAGCCGATGCTGCTGCCTTGCGTTCATGCTCCATTTTATAAGAAATGCTGAGATTTCGTTATCGTTTGCAACGGGTTGAGTGGGAGAAAAAGCTGACATACCAAAACAGATGTTTAAATGTTTTTTTTCCACACAGCACTGTACAAAATGGTACATTTTTATACTCTTTCTGCTGCCTTTTCAAGATCGTATACTTAATTTTTTTGCTATAATTGGGTGTTTGAAAGATGAAAGCAAAAATCACTGAATTTCGCTTAATTTCATGATGGCCTATTAGCATTGATATACTGCTGCATTACAGAATCTTAATTTGCACAGTGATGGTGTGCGTCTGATCTAGGAAGTCTCATATTTAATGATTTGCTATAACGACACCTACTTTGCATTTGCGCACACAACGCAGGCGCTTTGTTAACTCGTGTTTTAATAACACTCCGCCAAGTCCATAAAGAGAGCCACATTCCTGTTCGCACTCATTTCTTTTTTGTTAACCTGTTTCCAATAACAGTTTTTACATTGCTTCTTGTAGGCTGTGGGCACGGGATAATGAGCACTGAAAAAAAAAGCACTCAAAAAATGATACGTAACTTTTACTAAGGGGCAGATGCTTTTACTTATTGGGTTAAGATATATAATTCGGAGCAAAGCTTGACACCGTTTCCAATTGTTTATTGGGACGAATTAAATATGTCCTGAAAAAGTTGTGATTCAAGTATTCTTGCACACAATTGTTTGTCTACTCGCTGTCCGCTCCCCACACAGCTGCACATGGAACGGACTTTGATGTCTGTTGCGTTCTTTGTTTTGGAAGGATTGCGGCGGAGGCTGCCTTTTTTCCAAATTTAAGACCGTTATTTATTTGTGTTTTTCAATGCCTTGTGCGTCCTATTATTGTGGCTTGTTTGGCAGCGCTTCACCCGCGGGCGGTTGTGTTTCTCGTTGTCCCAACGCCACGCCTTTCCTCCCGGTTCCTCGCGTCAGGGGAGAGCAGAGACCCTGACCTCCGACCCCTCGGACCCGATCCCCCTCCTTTGCCCCTCTCCCACGGCCACCGAGCTCAGCTTGCTCAGCTTGATGGCTTTCTCTCAGTGCGTGCACCGCAACGCATGTCGTGTCCTATTTCTACATTGCACCATGCCTATGTAACAACTGAAACATTTTTGGTCCTTTAAACATCATTGTTATTATTATAATAACAACATTGCTGAATTAGTCACGTGAGTACCTTGTATACATCGGGGACAGACAAAACAAACAAAAATAGCCTACATAGCTAAAATGTACGTATTGAGAAGAGAATGGAAGAAATCGGCCAAGAGAGGGAATAGAATATGTATTTATACTGGAGGAATCCGATGAACTATAAAGCTCTTTTTCACAGATGTCCAGTAGATAGAAACACCCAGAGGCGAATGCTGCCAATGATGATAAGGGTGCTGATTTCTGACTGTCCAGTGCTCTGTGACCGCCACAATCAAACCGATTTGAACTGACCTCACCGACGGCCCTGACTGCACTGATTGCACTGACCATGCCGAAACCCCAATCGCCCCAATCGAACTAACCTCATCAATGATGTGGATTTCCCCAACCACACTCGCCTCGCCAGCCTGGGCCTTCACAAACCTCACCGACCACCTGAAATATGGTCATTGCGCCGATAGTCCCAATTACCCCCATCATACCAGGAACGTGCGGTCAGGGGAGGGAGGGAAGGCAGAGCCTCACCTGTCATACTCCAATAAAAAGAGCTGTTACGAAAAGTGAAAAAATAAGATTAAAAAAATATTAAGATTTTCCCACTGATCTGTGTTATAAATGTTATTTCTGTACGATTCCAATCATTTTTATAGTCAAAATCGTCAAATTTGCTGAGCTCCGCTGCAAATACAGGAAGAGACGAGAGGTGAGGCAGCGAAGAGCTCAGCCTCCCCTCTGATTGCGCAACCCCTCAGTAACTGGATGGAGCGCAGGCAATAAGCGTGTGCCTGTCACTATCTCAGTATGTAACCAATGTCATGTTTGTAGACCCCTTCATTTCATGTCCTCGCCTTCCATACTCCAGGTAACTTATTTCACGTATGTGTATAAAGATATTTAGGCTCGCTGATCTCGTCATGAAACTGCAATGAAAAGCACCAGGGGAGGCAGCTATCACATCTGCCTCACTGAGGGGGACGTGTCTAACACGCCCCCCTCAGTGAGGACACGCCCCCCTCAGTGTGTGAATCTGGCTCTGACACTAGCCAGTGCCACCCCAGCCATTGACCTCACCGCACGTCACTGCACCATACTACCCAACAATACCACCCATTATGAGAGGTCCCAGGAGGGTTCTGGCAACCACCGCTGGTATCAGCCGTTTCCAGCAGAAACCTGGCACTAACATCGCCCATTGGTGAGCCCAGGAGTGGCCATGCATTCAGTCGTGCCTGGGCCCCCATGCAATTAGTGAGGGGGCTTACAGGTGCAAATTGGGTGGCCCAGGAAGGATCTCGTGGTCAGCAGGACATCCAGGCTGAAGGTCGCTTTTCTGGGGCATCAACGCTGCCAGAGGAGGAGGTGTCTCCAGCTTGGTGCTTCCGTGTTAGAGAGTGGCAAGCAGAGCAAATCATCCCCTTCTGCACACTGCTTGCAGGTCAGGGAAGCGGCAAGAGATTGCTGTTTAGTGCAGGCCATGTTTTGCTAATCAGTTATGGTTTGTCCATTAGGCCAGCAATTTATGGGTAAAATTATGGTGCATTGGTTCATATATATTTTCATGACCATGAACATTCCAATTAAATCAAGGCAGTGTATAAATCGTGGTAGTAATTTAAAAACGCTTGCCATTGTTGTAGTTAGCGCAGTGTTCCTGCTATTTAATAGGGGATTAACAACTCTTGTCATTCTTATTGTCCCAGAACTTTGGCCTGGCGGTTAATTATTCCTGGACGCGCAAAAATATACAAAGTATGAAAGTCTCAATAATAATAGGGGTTTTCCCCTTTTTTCTGGCAACAAAACTGAAGCCTTTTTACAAGGAATCATGTTTATATTAACCACAATACTTTTGATCAAAATTCAAACAACAAACACACTGATAATATATGATGCATTGTCCTTGAAACTGATTGGTCCACACCAGAGACGGCTTTCTTTTGAGCCTCGTCTCAATTGGTGCTAGACCAGAGGACGCCAATAGGCGTACAGCTCCAAGACAAATGCACTATCAAAGTAATGAGGGCTCGGGGTAAGCAAGTATTGTGGTTAATGCACACATGATTCCTTGTAAAAAGGTTTCAGTTTTGTTGCCAGAAAAAAAGGGGAAAAACCCTGTTATTATATTTTGGTACTGACAAAGGAGGTCTAATGATATGAAAGTCTTCTTGCTCATATTAGTGGAGAGTGATGCCCTGATCCTTGATTTAAATTCTACATTCCAAAGGCAGTGACCACTTCCATCCTAGGATCACAACTGTGTTGATTTCTCACTGTGGTTTTTCTTTTTATCAACCCTGAAGGATTGGTGGTCTGCATCAACCCCTGACAGGGATTTAAACACATGGTCTTGTCATTGCTTTTTGAGTTTTTTGCGCAATCTCCACCCAGCTGGATATTTGCAAAATGATTGTTTATATTACCAGTGTTTTATACTTCTCCAGTAAAGCCTCAATTAGACTGGGGACTTTTAGAACGGTACTGTGCTGGGATGTTTTGCCAATTCCTATTCGCTGTTTTGTGTTTGGTTGGGGGGGGGGAGAAAATCCAATCGGTAAATTTTCGTCCTTTGCTGGAGCTCAGGTTCAATGCCCTGAACAGTCGGTGTTGCCGATGATGCCTCTGCATGCGTTTTCAACACTGATACCATTGTGTGAATGACGATTGTCGCTCTGTTTGCAGAGCTCGTATCAGGCCCTGCATATGCTCCATTCACAACGGCCTCCTCCCCTCTCCTCCCCTCCATCTCTTATCCGCCTTCCCCGTGCCCTCAAACTCTCCGCTGTGATTTATTTTTAAACGTGGCCATGGTGTGGCAGAATAATGTGGAGGTAACCTTGATTAATATTTGATGTGGGTAGATTTTTGCCTTGCATTGTCCTTCGCCTGTGTTTTGATATTAAAGAACAATGTCATTGCAAGGATTAATATTTCTGTAAATTGTGGATCTATTGTCCAATTAAGGCTGATATGGACTGGTTGAAGCGTGTCTCTGACAGTTATTCTCGTAAGAATGCGACTCCCTTTTTTCAAGGTCCAAAATACATTGGAGGTAATGCTACTGTACAATACGGTTGCAGTGTATTTTGCTTGGTGGCTGCTGCCGAGAAAAAACTGTTGAGCATTTGCCGTGACGAATTTCCTAATTCAGACTTTATTTCAGCTGGTAAGGCTCATTGAGCTATGCGGCTCTGTTAGGAGGATGAGCACAGCCCAAGACCATTGCCAGTGGTGGCAGTTACAGGACATTGCAGGGTGGGAATGTGCAAACTAGCAAGAGCTAAAACAACTTATTTTTTACACAAAAACCACACCAGAATTTCCAAAAAACAGCATAAACAACATATAGCGCTTAAAAGACAGTGTTAAAAATACCAGACATACTTTAACTACCTACACATTCAATATTCTCTGCACAAAATCTGATGTTCCCACGTGTTTCATATCTAGGCCCAGGTATTTCTGTGGCGGGGCCCTCTACTCATAACCAGAAGGATGAAAGTTCAAATCCCAGCCCATCTTCTCTCTTGAATCAATGAAATGAGCATTGCTTTTTGTGAAGTTGATCACGGTTGTTCTAAAAGAGGGACTGGTTCTGACCATAGGGATGTGGAATTTCCATTGTCACCGGCTCAGGACCACCAGTCTCATTTGGGCAGCAAGACACTGACTCATGGGGCCAGATTCTTAGCTTGGCAGAAAATGTGCCGATATCTCCATTTCCAACAAGGGGGAAGATTGGCAAAACAATTAGTTTTTTCAATTTCATCACGATGGGAATCAGGGCTCTAATGTTTTGTTCATTTGGTACAAATTAAAAAGCAGCTTAACGTCGCTGTCGAGTTCCAAACTGTACGAATATGAACATAACGAGCAATACTTATAAGAGCACGGTTAAAATGTAAACATATCTTTGTGTTGATTAGTTTTTGCTCTGCGCATCCTAAGAAAGTCTCCGGCTGGGTGGCACTGTTTCAAAACACGATGCTTGCAACCAAAAAGGTGTTTATTCGCATTTGATTCACCTTCCAGATCAGGACTAATGTCCAATGTATAGCAAGGCATCTGTGTCACTTGAACAAGTTCATGTCTCTGTGCTGAACCAAGCATTGGGGGTGGGGGGGGTCAGGGAAGCCAGGGGCACTGCTCATCACCTTCAGTGACTCTGAGTCAGGGGTGGAGATTTTCCGTTTTGGTCGAGTTTGCCAGACAGCCTCTATTGACATCCCACAGGTGTCATGATTTTGTGGACTCTTTAGTTGACTGGGACTCTTAAAGTTTCGAAGCGCAGTCTTCAGTTGTGGCACTTTGCCACAACAGTTCTATTGAGAAATGAATCGAGGTGTCTGTAAGGCGCTGTGTTGAGCTTATCCTCTCTGTTGCAGCGTCTTCAGGAGGTTGAAGGTGAGATGGTGCCCGCAGGAGTGCGTGGAGTAAGCTCGAAAAAATGAATGCTCAATCACCGCCTATCCCGGAAGGCCACTCTGAGGATAATGAGTGTCTGCGCAACCTACTTGGCTACGATCATGATGTGCATGGTTGGGAATTCTGGACACATCACGAATATGAAGCGGTGGGCTTGCAATTTATTTTCCCTTCAATCGTCGTCCGCTTTTCTTCCCCCCCCCCTCCTCTTCCTCTGTCCCTCCACTCCTTCAGGTTTTGACAGAGCGGGGGCACAGGCGTTAGAGAAGACTCGCCAAGATGGTGGCCCTTTCGCTCAAGATCTGCGTGCGGCACTGCAACGTGGTGAAGACCATGCAGTTCGAGCCGTCCACCGTGGTGTGGGACGCCTGCCGCATCATCCGCGAGCGGGTTCCCGAGGCCCAGTCCGGCGAAGGTAATGTCCGGCTTCACGAGCATGGTAATGCGTGGGGGGAGGGGGGGTCCCCCCCGTCGGTTTACACGTTGGCACGTGGACTTGAGAGGAAGCCCCGAATCTGCGAACGTCACTTTTCACACAACCGTTCTGCCAAAAGGTGCGTCGCCGTACCACTGTGGCCGATTGTAGATAACCGTGGTCAGAACGCTCGGCTTTGCAATTGAATTTGTAACGAGAAGACTTGAAGCCACTTGCTGAGGGGCTGGAAGAGTTGACTGAAGGTCGAGTGTCGACTTTGGAGCAACTCTGGAATCTAGCAGAAAGACCGAAGAGATGCACGGTGTGCACGCTGTGGTGGTCTCGCTGGCATTGTTGCCCTTCATTTGCAGTTTTAGATTTAGATGGTTTCCATAGCCAAATTGCATTGCTAATATTACTTGTTTTGACTTCGGAACATTAAGAGATAGGTTCAACCGTTTTGGCGATGGAAGGTCAACTCTGAGACTTTCCTATGGGTAGTCTGATTCCTGCCATAGGAATGTGGAATTTACACCACTGGTGCAGCACAACCAGTAGGGACGGGTACTGCCCCAATTCTCGTTTGAGCACGGAGATTCTTACTTAGTTGCTCCTGAAGAATGTGAGGTCTCACCTGGTTTAAACGTAGGCCTTTTTGTTGAATACTTACGCAGATTTGTCCATGACACTGGCGCATTCAATCCGATATTGGCAAAATCGCATTGAACAATCTTTTACACCCACGGTCAAGCAGAAGGTATGTCTCTTCTGAAGCATACCACTTTTTTTCCCTGTCAGGAATGTACTGTCCCATCCTGTCTGATACACAAGCGAAGATAAGACAACTCAAGGCCTTTGCAGAACAGCCGCAGTTCATATCGCATTGCTCGTCAATCAATGCCCCTGTCTGCTGCTTGTTATTGCATTCAAAGAGAATGGAAAGAAGGGAACATACAAGACCGTGAATTGCCTGTCGCCTGATCTTCGCTCACTGTGGGTGTGATGTTGGACTGTTTTTATGGATCAGTGGCTTGGGAGTTAACTCATGTGTTATGGTCCCGGAGTGTTACATTTATGGCTACTAGTCATAAAACATAATACGGGCTGTTGCTATTATGATCTGACCTGGGGACGATAGTTTGAAAATTTATTTGATTTACCAGGTAAAGCATCCTGAGCTAATAGCTCTTTTTCATAAGCGACCTGGCCATAAATGATAGCTCAGCGAATTGGCTTATCATGCGGAAATTTATAGCAGCGAGTTTACGAGACCATGTGGTGAACATGCAAACTCCAAATATTCAGGCGTCAGGGTCGGGATCGAACACACAACCTCCTGCACACCAGGCGAGGGAGTAGCATTTCCCTCCCCTGGTACCAGCTCCACTACCGCTTCAGAACCATGCTGGCCTTAACAGTGTAGACTAAAATATTAATGTTCGCATCTGTAGATATAATGCAAGATTGCTATGATCAGAAAGATAAATTTGCAATTTGATCAGTGCAAAGTATAATCCACGGTCAGGGGTCCGTTCGTCTTCCATGTGTAGTGTTGCGGATTCTGGAGACGTCGGAAGTGTTGGAGGCAACACTTTATTCAACACAATGTCCGGCAGTACAACCCGGCACCCTCAGGGCAACGGCCCTTCTATTCTCCTTACCTAGCGAGGTAGCTGCCTCCGGGCTAACTCAGCCGATACGGCACTTCTACTCGAGGGCCTCCGGCTATGGGTGCCTAGGGGAGGCTAATCTAACCCGACCTAGTCAAGGTGTGGGTTCCAACCATGGGCCCGCTCAGACCCGGCCCTTACAAGGATGCCCCTACATTTATAGGTTTGAGCTTCTTTCGCACCATACGTAGTCAGTTGTGCTAATCGGAGGTGCGGGTTTAGTTTCCGTTATGGGCTCATACATTTAGTAACCACAATGCAAAGTATAAACTGGTAAACTATGAACAAACTACCTCCTGCTATGGGAAATGTGGAATTTCCACCTCTGTTTTATGGCTGACAATAGCGATGAGTGGCCCCCTGCATTGCCTATTTAAGCAAGGTGAGGCTCTCAGTATAATTTATATCAGTTTAAGTACAGCATCATCGTTTTAATCCATTAAAGATAAACATAAAATTTTTGTTTACAAACTTAATAAATTTTGCTCCTGTAATCTAAGCCAGCTTAAAAGTATCTGTTTCTGTCTTTTATGTTCCATTTTTTTCTTCTCATGCTGCACAGAGCTTCCCTCAGTATTCAGATATGTAATTAAAGTTAACAGCACTGTACTATCTAGTGTATGGGTTGGAAATAATGGGATAAAAAAAATACATCTTTCAGATATCACTGGTATGCTGACAAGGCTGTCGCAAATAACAAGGGGAAATCTCCCCTATTCTGCGCGCCACTTCGATGGAACTGTGAAATGTGATTACAGTATGCATTGTGCTTTTTGAGACGTCTTCAGTGCTTGGCCTCACCCAGAGGGTGGAGTTCTCCGTACACGCCATTGTTTGCGTGCGTAAAACTTACCGACGTTAGTTCCAGCGGACGCTTTCACCGACGTTTGCTCCAACTGTTGCAAAAGTGGTTGACATGTATGTTGAGCACAATGCGAACAAAACTGCCTAAAACACACACACACACAACCAAAACACTGAATTTCTGAAAAACAATTAAAAAGTCAGTGTGTTTCCAAACTCAAAAATGCATCGGATGATGCTCGTGTAATGGTCGCATCTCCGAGCCAGTGATGCAAATTCTACATTCCCATGGTGGGTGCCAGTCTTTCCATAGGGCAGCCATAATTAACTTCCTACGCAGTGGTGCTCAATCCATGAACTCTGGAGGAATTGCAAGTGGAGTCAACCATCCCCACAGCTGGGATTTGATTGCACGATCCTTGGATTGTCAGCGGAGCTCGGTAATTGCAGCCCTCACCTGGCCGGATAATGGATAATAATAATGGTCGTGCACTTTTATTATTTGCACTGTTTGTCTCCTTGCACATACGGAGCACCCAGGCCACATTCGCATTTGCATCAGTACTTTATGAAACTTAACACCAGGTGGCTAAATGACCTCGTGGTCAGCAGGGCTGTCTGCTGCTCCAGATTGTGTGAGATTGATGGCTCATCTCCCACAGCCACCTGGTCAGTTCTGCAGGGAATTACCGCCAACACACCGTCTGCCGCAGAGTGAATGTTAAAGACCCCGTGGCATCATTTACAAAGTGTAGTCTATTGTTTGCTTGTGTTGTCGGCAATTTTTCTTTATTGTGATATTGATAGCGGCTTGTGCAAAATAATATATTTTCGAAAAATAACTGCTCACGTGTATTTACGGCTTCCCATGTTGTATTCGTTAAAGACACCACTATGGCAGTCGTCGTATTTATAATTAATATCGCCTTGCAGTTAGTCTGTTTGATGAAGGTTTTCACACGCTGTGTCAGTCACCGGTGTTCTTTGACTATACTTTACCATGCTGGTTATGGTGGGAAGGTGCAGGGCTGGGTTGGGTGGGTAGTTGCAGGAGCAATTACAATACACTATGTAACACGATTTTTGTTCCTGGGTAGTAAGTGTTTTTTCTAATTGCTTATGCCTCGAAAGTATAGAAATGGCTATTTTTCCCCACGAACTTTGATTTTGTGACCAGGACTTTATGTGAAGAAATGACACAAATGCACCCGTTTTCTCATTGAAAATAGGTAAATTTCAAAATCTCACTGTCCTGGTCACAAAAGCAAAGTTTATGGGGACTACTAGCCATTTTCTGTACTTTTGAGGCATAAGCAATTGGAAAATAACACTTAGTACCCAGGAAAAAAAAGTGTTTGTTACACAGTCACCGTTGGTGTCAGCCGTGGGCAGGAATCAAACGAAAATCACCAAGTTTATAGCACAGTGTGCCGAACATTACACCACCCCTCGCCCGTGCGTAATATACGTATATACACTGTGCATACACAGTACGTATATTATATACCTCCCTTTGATGGCCTTCAGTACAGTTGTCAAAGAATTATCACATAGACCCGTATATGAGGGCTGACCTGTAGAAGATCATGTATCTTGTGGAACAAAAACGGAAATTGTTTCTGGTATTTTGAAAAGACAGGAGAGCTGATTGCAGAGGAAGTCTGTAAGTAAACATCCAATTTTTTTTTCATTTTGACAATGACTTGTTCATGCCCAGACCATATGGACAAAATGTAATGGTGTCCGATTCAAGTTTGGGGCAGAAAAAAAACACTAAATTACCATGACTAAAATGGTAAAGATGAATTGAACAAGTTGAACATTCCAAATTATTTAATATTAAAGTCAAAGTGTTTATGTACTTTAGCCGGGAGCTGGCATTTTAGAGGTGAAATGAGACGTTTCAATGAAAAAATATATATTTCAAAAGCCACAGCACTTCTCTGCATTTAAAAAATTATGGTTGAATATTATCCAATTTTAGCTTTTGTCCTTCGTTTTTGAAGTTCACGGCATGTCTCCAAGTCATGGCTTTGTCGGGTTTTCTATAAGTTTACGTTGCCAATCCTGGCCTTAGTATTAGCATCCAATAAGGGAGGCATGTGGACGGGGAGAGTGGCCAGGTGGCTCCGAGACCCAATACTACGGGTCGAGGCATTCAGCCGTGGCTTCCCCTGGGATCCCCGATGGTTCAAGCCCCAGGGCAGAAAATTGACCTTGCCTCCCCCGGTCTTGAAGGGCCCTTGTGCGCAATGGGTTTTTTTTACACTCTTAGCCGCCCACCTCGAATGTGAAGGAAACTATACCTGCCTCCAAAATACGAGCCTAAAAGAAAGGCTCCCAAGGCATGCTGTTTCACTGCACTCAATCACAGCTCAGAGTGTACATTATAGGTGACATTTGCCAAGGGAGCGAAGCCATCATTTTGTCAGTCTGGCAAAGAAGGGCAGCTTGGCCCATGATTGCAGCCGTGTGTGTATGTGTGTGTTGAGTATCAAAGTTTTGTACATGTGGTGGGTTGAGGCT